GCGCACTGGAGCTCTGCACTTTACAAACTCAGCGCCCCCTACCACGCAGCGCTCGGCTTGCACGGTGAGCGGTGCTAACTCTCGAGAGCACGAATGAATGGCCCTCCCCCTTACAAGCAAATGTGAGGCCCGCGGCAGCCATCCCACCCTTGCTTACCTGCCTGAATGCCTGCTGCAGCTTTCAGCGGCTCCCGCCGCCCAGGACACAATCTGCAGTGGCTTCTCCCGCGCCCCCGCCCCCATTCAGATGTTGAGGAGCCGACATAAGCGGTTAGGGGCAGCCAATGGGGAAACAGCTGCTTCCGCCGCCGTTCTAGGCATGCGAAGCAGCCCCTCCTCCAGCAGTTCAGTCTTCAGTGGGCAAAGGGGTAGTTGGACGGTTCGGATCCCGCTCCTTTTTCCCCCCCAATCTATTTCAAGTTCAGAACATCCCCGTGGTTCAAGGATAGAGTAAAGGATCCAGGGGTGTGTGTGTGTGTGCAGCCAACCACAAGGGTGGTGCTTCCAACCTATTGCTCACAATATCCAAAATGACTTTTAAAATGATTACTCACAGCTCTTTCCATACCCTGAATCAAGATTTAACAGAGATCCTTGTGTCTGTTTCAGAAAGAATAATTTGCAAGTTCTACAAAGCAAAGCTTACCTAGGCCACCTTGAACTTGGTAGATGTGGATTCCTATTCATATGTATTAAAATATATGAATTTGGAAGCTAATGCTATTTGGGACTCAAAGTTCCATTGCCTCAAGAGGAAGCATGGATTCCACAAAACCTGCGTCCTTACAATTGAACAGAAAATTGTGTCTCCCTTGTGGGTTTGTATGTTTATGCCAAACCATACCATACCTTCCACCACCAGCTGAAACCCCAAAACACAAAAACTCAGGACTGAATCAGCAGCGTATCTTACATTTTACAGAGACCGAAAATTACAAACTATATACAGGCAGCATCACCACTAGCCACAGGGTTGCAGTTGCCACTGGAGCAGCCATTGGCAGTTGTTTTACAACACAGAGCAACACCATACAATAGTTTGGTACAGCAAGTGAGCAATACTGGCGCTTCACTGCCCAGCCAGCATGGGCAGTTCCACGGAGTGAGAGTCGGCCAGAACATTAGGAGCACACATGTCCATTCCTGAAGACGGCCCGAGGATCCCAAGAGCTAGATGGGGTCTAGCTAGGCTTCAACCTAGACCAGGGGAGAAGTCTGTGAGAGGCAGATCATGATACTACAACAGATATTGAACAGGAAAGGCCTGGCTTCACTGCAAAAAACATACAACTGAGGGACTAGGATGGGGTGGGATTCTCATGGAGTAGATCACAGGGCAGATTTCCCAGCAGCACCTGCTGATGATGAACTTGATATTTGCAGCTGTGAAGAAGGAGAAACCTGGGGTTGTGACTGCTCCTGGGTCTGACACTGAGAGGTATCAGCATCTGCCGCCTTGAGTGTGCAATTCTCAGTGGCAGGGCTGGATGGGGAGTGGATTGTGCAGGAGACACCAACTTGTTCAGGCACCTGAAGGAAATCAGGCAGTATTAGATCCTCCTTGGACAGTAGCCCACGCTGGTCATTGACCCTGCAGTTCTGTGCACGGTTCAGCAGCTCCATTAGCCCTAGGAGAAGAGAAGTAATTCACTGTATCTAAAAACTTAATACCATGGTAAGAGGCCATGTACCCTTCTGGATGTTGCTGATCTGCAATTTAAATCATTCCTCATTATGAACCTGGAATTGAACAACATCTGGACACCCATGTGATACCCAGCCATTCTTCGTACTGTCACTCTACAAAGTCAGCATTTAGCTCTTTTAATTTTACTACTATCATAAAACTTATATTAATTGCTTATGCCTTTAATAGTCATGGTTTCCCTACAGGAATCCTGAAGAGGATGCTAAAGACATGGCCAGGTGCTGACTGTGGAACAAATCACAAAGTGCTCATGTGCAAGTTCTAAGTTAAGCTAAAAAAGAAGAAAGCCAACCAGTTTCCACAATATAATCTTGAGCATACACCCAACACTTTCAAGGAGGACATCAGGAGGCCAGTGCCAAGAAAGACAAAAATCTCAGGAAGGAACTTAACAAACAGTTTCAGAGAGCTGTTAGAAGAGATAAGAAGCAGTATAAATAATATCTGTAGACATGAAAGATGGAAACAGACATGGAAAAACAAGGAAAGTCTTCCAAAAGATATCTGAACTCAGAAGGAGGTTCCAACCTTGAATTGGTAGGCTAAAGGACACCAATGGACAGATAGTAACTGATTCAAAAAAGTTCAAACAAAGATGGAAGGAGTATACTGAAATACTGTACAGTCCAGATGTACAGTATAGATACAGAGATGTCAACATCCAAGATGCCTAAGAAGACATGTCCTACTTAAAAGAACCTCTAGTACTAGAAGATGAAGTTAGATCAGCACTCCAATCATTACCAAGTCAGAAGGCTACAGGAACTGATAGAATACCCACAGAAATATGGCATGCTACAGGGAAGACTCAATAAAAGTTCTAACCAAGCTAAGCTAGCAAACGTGGAGAACTACACAGTAGCCAACAGATTGGAAGAGCCCAATATACATTCCAATATCAAAAAAGGAGACTTAACAGGGTAAGCAAACTGTCATACAATATCCTTAATTTCACATGGTAGCAAAATAATGTCTAGGTTCATCCAATTCAGATTAGAGCCCTTCATGGAAAAGGAGATGCTGGATGTTTAAGCTGCTTTAGAAAAGGCCAAGGACACAAGATATTGCTGATGCATGCTGGATAATTGAGAAAGCCAAAGAATACCAAAAAGAAGTCAGTATATGCTTCATCAATTATAGAAAGGCCTTTGATTGTGTTGATCACATCAAGCTGTGAAATGTGCTTATAAAAATGGGAATCCCAGAACATCTCATTGTGCTTGTGTGAAATCTATATACAGGTCAGGAAGCCACAGTACAGACAGAATATGGTGAAACAAACTGGCTCCAGGTTGGCAAAGGAGTGAGACAAGGCTGTATACTCTCCCCTTATTTATTCAA